GATACATAATTAGGTTTAAATATATCCATATTGGCATGTTATTAAATTTAGAAAACTGATTTCAATCAATATTTTAAGCTTTTGTAAATTCTTTTCATTTAATTTTGTATTTAGTATTAGGCCTTTTTCCCCTTAGCATACTGTTTATACATTTGTTGATAACTATGAACCGTCCATACAGTGCAGGGTTATCCACCTTATGTTTTGAAATTTCTTTTTTGAGTCTTTCACATCTATTAAATGTGTGTAAAGTTAAATCTAATACTGTACTGTAATAGTATATAAAAATATGTAAAACTTTTTCTTTCATCTACTCTTATCAATATCGCTTACAGTACTTTGATGTTATTTAATATATTTATAATATTTTATATAGGCCTGCAATTTACTGTAAATACAGCTATTATATAAAATTATTTTTATAAATCTTTATATGTTTGCACAATACCACTAGTGCTACATCGTGTGACTTCATAATGCTAGTAAAATTTAATGCAGTTTATTCTTTTAAGATATTGAATCCAGTTTTTTTTTTCCTACTATTTAAATGATACAATGCAAGCATTTTAGATGGTTGTTTGAACTGTGATATATATGTTTAATGTGTGTTAAATAAAGATCTTGAGAATGAATACATTTTGTTGGGATTTCTGTACAGTGGGTTCAAACATTTCATGTTTCCTGCAGTGCCATGAACTACCAAAACACATTTGTACATCTTGTAGGCCTATGATTTTTTATTTTTACACTTTTTTTTGATTCGTGAAAACAATTTTTTATTGATCGAACGATACAGTTTTTTATTTAAAAAATTATATCCGGGCTATTTTCTAGAGAAGTGCCATGAATTTCTATGAAAATTAATTTTATCAGTGTTATTTTCTATAGAAATGTTTTTTTTTCCTATAGAAAATATAATATATTAGCATTATTTCTAAAGAAATTCTGTACATTTCTAAAGAGAATAATACAGTTTTCCATAGAAAATATATTATATTGGTGTTATTTTCTATAGAAATGCTGTTATTTTCCACAGAGATTTATATAGTTTTCTATAGAAAAAATTATATCTGCAATAATTTCTATAGAAATGCTGTTCTTTTCTATAGAAGTATTGTGAATTTCCATAGAAAATAATAGTTTTCTATAGAAAAGAAATTATAACGGTGTTACTTTCTATAGAAATGCTGTTCTTTCCTATAGAAGTACAGTATTGTGAATTTCTATAGAAAATAATAGTTTTCTATAGAAAAGAAATTATAACTGTTACTTTCTATAGAAATGCTGTTATTTTCCATAGAGAGTTACATAGTTTTCTATAGAAAAAATTATATATCTGCAATAATTTCTATAGAAATGCTGTTCTTTTCTATAGAAGTATTGTCAATTTCTATAGAAAATAATAGTTTTCTATAGAAAAGAAATTATAACTGCATTACTCTCTATAGAAACACTTGTTGTTTTCTATAGAAATGCTGTTAATTTCTATAGATTCTTATAGAGAATTAAGCCACTTTTCTTTAGAAATTGTATAGAAATCCTTTAGAAATTGTATAGAAATTCTTTAGAGATTGTATAGAATATTTTTATATATTTTCTATAGAATTTGTTTGAAATATTCTATAGAACTTATATAAAATTTTCTATAGATAATCTATAGAATACTATATAGAAAATCTATAGAATTTTTTTTATAGAATTCTATAGAACATTTTTGTATGGGTGTACGATGTTTAAGCTCAATAAATATGTTCATAATAGTCGGTTTGTAACAAATCTGCCTTTCGGAGAATTCTGAAGAACGTTTTACGTTTACTACCTATTCCAAATATAGTCAGGTTTCCTATAATAATTAATATAGGCCTAGGCGGCCTAGTAGTAGTAGGCCTAGCCTAACTAAGTAGTACTTAGTTACTACTACTAGGCCAGAAGTGACTCACCGTTTCATTGTCGTACAAAACTGCTCCTCTGCTGAGTTTATAGCACCATAGAATCGTTCATTAAACAATGGTCATCGCTTTCTTCAAATGTTTTGGCCCACAAACATCGGAGAACTGCATTAGAGTCGGTTCGACTTAATTGTCAACATTTTCACATGTTTAGAAATCGTTTGTTTTGCTGTCACGCTGCTCTAGATAGCCTCGTTTTCAGTCGCGGTTACGATTGCTTCCGTGCGGAATTGCGTTTGTAAACTTCGAAACGCGTCAAAATCGACCTATAGTAACCACACAATTTTCGTGCTTGAGCGGTTTTTTGCGTTGCTTGAGTCTAGAAAATGCGTCATATATCGTCATTTCGCGTTTTCAGACTAACAAAAAACACCAAAAAACGAAATTTCGAAAAATAACAAATAACAAAAAAATCGACGCGGGCCTAAAAATCGATGCGCGAGGGGACGGGAAACAAGTAACTTTTTGTTATTTGGCCTTAGTATACTTTCTGGCCTGCTGAGAACGACATGGACTGATAACCGTAGGCTATAGGCCTACTTGAAACCTTGCTCACCACTAGCTGCTACAAAGATTTAGGCCTTTAGGGTAAAATATTGTTAAAAAGGTAGGCCTCTGTAAGTAAGAACTTAAAAATAGGCCAAGCCTCTACTAGTCTAGGCTAGGCCTACTACCAGACTCCAGACGAGGCCCGAACCATCCTACTGGAAAGTTAAAGTTTTGTTGTATTTGTATGTATGCCATCTAGTCTTAGCTTAATTGTTTTTGCCATTGCCAACATTAGTCTTACTAGGGTCTATTCTAAATATTTTAGGCCTATTTATTAGGGAAGACTATTTAAATTTAGTCATGCCTAACCATGGACCTATGGCCTAACTAGTAGACGCGAGTGACTCAGTTTCGTGGCTCCAAAAATATGAACATTTGATTGGTTGAAATTGTTTATTTCGGTCCGCCCATTTATCCAAATACGGAATATAAGATTACGTCATTCCTTCGGCATCCTGGTGCCTGATTTCAGTGTTTTACAAGTCGCTTATTCCGTCTATAAATTAACTTTCTCGTTGGTGGCGCTGTCCAGAATGAGAAAAATAATAAAAAAATTTAATAAGAGACTTGTGGCAAGTCTATTGCTCTTATTACGATAGAGGTGAGCTGTGGTTTATTAATATTCTGAGTATCATACATGGCATGCGAAAAACACGTATTTTTCAAATTTGAATGCATTTTCATGAAGCTTGGGTAATTTTGGGCAATTTTTGCTGAATCTTGAGTAATTTCGACCCAGACATTGGGTATATCAAAAATTGTGAGTGGTCATACACACTGCCCCGGTGTGTTTTACATTTGCATACTAGGCCAAAGAATATAGGCTAGGCCTACGTGTTTGCAAATTGGATAACCTGAAAAAAAAAAAAAAATTAAATGTATGGCTCGCATGGCTCGCTGGCTCGCATGACTCGCACGTTGGCTCGCATGACTCGCTGGCTTGCACTTTGGCACTACTCAATTTGTACACCAACAAAATATGTTTACTAAATTAAGCAAGCGAAAAAACAAGATGTGCTTAGTGTGTACAGACTTAACAATGGAACCTAAAAACTAAGCATGATATGGGAGTTGGACCTCCGCTTAATAGTCGAAGCAACAGCTATAATATGAATTAATGGGTTATAAATGTTTATCATGATTTCCAAAATACATCAAGTGACGCCGAAATTATTTTTTAATTACTTTCATAATTCTGTGTAATCTTTCAATAATAGGCCTATCAATAATACATGCAACAGTAATAATTTTAAAAAAAAATAAAAACATTTTTTTATCTTCCTTAAATTGAATGTTTTAAACTTTGATAATTTGTTTTATAAATTTACAGAAAAACAAAGAATAACCTTAATTACAATATATCATGCTTATTTTGTCAAATCACGATACAAAATTAATAACTCAATAGCGCCAAAAAAAGACATTAAAACACATCACAAAACGCTCCAAACACCGGATTGGCTGAGGCTCTTCCCCACACCTCGCCGGGGACATTCGCGCCCCCTGGCTGCCAGCGCCTGGCTCGGGGCATTCGGCTCCTTTGTTACGCCACTGATCCTTTGTAGATCCGCATTTAGAATTTTCGCACCCCCTCCCCCCCACTCTTCTCTCAATGGGAACCACCCTACCAATCCCATTGGCCCCGTGTGCATTATGGCTTATGGCTCCTGAGCATGTTAAAAACACAGTACACTAATCGAAAAAAAGTAGGGGATTGTCTTCCGATGTACCGTACTGTCCAATCACCAAAGAAGGACCGCACTCGAAATACGTCTTCTTCAGGCTTTCGTGGGTTATCCTTGATGTTTACACCGAATAAGTCCAAGACCCAAGATCCAAAACTCGAGGT